TGGAAGCCCTAAGCCCCCAGTGTGGCCATATTTGGAGATAAGGCTTCTAAGCAGGTAATTAAGGTTAAACGAAGTCATGAGGATGGGGCCCTGATCTGATAGAATTAGTGTCCTCATAAGAAGAGACACCAGAAAGCTCATTCTCTATCTGTCTCTCTGCACCCGCTCAGAAGAAAGGCCATGTGAGGACAAACAGCAGTCTACAAGCCAGGAAGAGAGCTCTCACCAGAACCCAACCCGGCTGGCCCCCCATCTGAGACTTCCAGCTTCTAGAACTGTGAGAAAATAAATTTCTATTGTTTAAGTTACCCAGTCTGTGGTACTTTGTTATGGCAGCTGAGCTGACTAAGACAAGTGGGAAGGAGGGTACAGTTTAGACACATCTCTAAGGGCAAGATGTTGGTCAGAGGAAGTTCATTCCTTGACTCTCGGAAAATGAGAGATAAACTTGTCTTTTGAAAATGAAAGTGGAGGTGGTAAGGTCAGGAATTTGAAAAGACATGTGAACATCAGGGAGCCTCTGAGAGCCACGGGTGAGGGAACTGATGCTGGACATGTGGGGACTCTGGGGAAGACTGGAGAATCAGGAATCCTGGCAGCATGATGGCCTGGGGCTGCAGCACATGATAAACCAGGGATGTCCCCTCCCCAAATGCCCCTTATCTGTCTTCAGAATGTTGAAGCAGGGTGGGCCCCAGGATATTCTTATTTTCTCGAGTCCACACGAATGCTGAGCAGCCCTCCTGTGTTTGGAATGTACGCAAGCAGACAAGGTCTGAGTGCTGTGGGTTTCACCTTGGGCAGCAGGTTGTCCCAGAGCCCGACAGATCCGTGGTGAGAAACCTCAGCTGGCTGAGGGCAGGGAAGCAGGGACCAAATCAGGGGCCACGGAGGGGCCGCTCTGGTGGTGGAGCTCTAAGCCTGGTTATTAAGTCTGCGCTTTCAACAAGGGCTGCCAGGAAGACAGCTATGCCCTCCCTTGGCATGGGAGCAAATGACAGGGTTGGGATCGTGGGGACAGGGTGAATGGAGCAGAGCTCTTTGGGAACGCAAAAGTTGATGCCAAAGCTAAGAGAAGGACTCCCCTAGGCAGTTTTGGAAGTGTACCTCCTGTTTGTTTGCTTCTGTGACCCCAAGCTCATCTCTGGTCCCCTCAATAAAATGCTGTGTGTAATTCAGTATTTGTTTTGTGTTTCACAAAGCAATTAGATTAAACTGAAATTAATGTCATTTCAAGGTTTTGGAGAGAATTTTATGCCAGCCCCTTGGGCACCAGAAACCAGAGGAGGCCTCTTTATGGGAGCATACGCAGGGACTGGTTAAGAACACCCAGGTTTGAGTTCTCATGCCACCTGTCCAGCCGGGACACCTTGATGAATGGCTTCACCTCTTTCTGAGCCTCAGTTTCATCTGCACAATGGGAGTAATGATTGTTGATGCGAGAATTAAGTCAGCAGGTTAGCAGAGTATCTGGTATGAAATAAGTTTTCAGTAAGGGAAGATTTTATCATCATCATCATCATCATTCACATTACTTTTAGGGATAGTAAAAATTTAAAAAGAAATCCACAAATACTTTCTCAGAAAATCAGAAAGTGATTTTTCAGGTATTGAAAAATCCCAGTGACCCTCCTCTGAAGGGTTAGCAATGGGCAGCTCCTCAGGTGGCCCTTGCAAGCTTCTTAAAATTCTCACAGAGCTCGTCAGCCTCTGGATCCAGGCACACCACAGAAAGGGGCAGGACCACCATGTGCCGGAAGCTTCTATGTGCCAGATCCCATACTTGGAGTTGTTATGTTTCTGAGCCATCAGCTGAGAAGGGGTGGAGACAGGAGGGGGAAAAGTGGGAAGGGAGGGTGGAGAAGATCAAGGAACCCATTCCCTGCAGAAGTCTTTTTGTCTGGAAACGGGTTTTCATCAGATACACCTGCTTCTGTCTTCCGGCTCAGATTCCCTGTCAGCAGCCCCACTGCCCTGAATCCAACATGCAATGAACACCTGTTGTTAGTCTTGTTAATGTTCTTCCCCTGAAGCATAACAACCTTTAAGGCAACGGTTCTCAACCAGGGGCAGTTTTGCCCTCCTGGCCTCCCAGATGATATTTGGCAAGGTCTGGAGACATTTTCCGATGGCACAACTTGGAAAGATGCTACTGGCTTCCAATGGGTAGAGACCAGAGGTGCAGCTAGACAGCATACAATGCACAGGACAGGCCTCAAAACAAAGAATTATTGGGCTCCTCTCCCTCCACCCTGTTCCCATGATGCCCACCCATAGTTTCCTCCCATGCCAAGGGAGGGCATAGCTCTCTTCCTGGCACCCCTTGTTGAAAGCCCAGATTTAATAGCCCAGATTACAGTGTCAAAGTTAAGAAATCCCGCTTGAAGGAAAAAGCAGCCCCACACACCCCGCTTAATTCACTAGGGGTATCACATTGGCAGTTGGCCAGAGGCTATGGATTACAAAGCCCTACCTTGATAATTATTTCTCCTTTGCTTGACACATTTGTGTACAACTTTGTAAGCAATAATTGCTTTCAAGAAGTCATTCTTCATTACACATTGCTATATGAAACCACCACAGCTCAATACACTCCTTGTGGACAACATCATCATTTCATTCATTCATTCATTCATTCAACCAACACACACTCATTGAGCTCCCTCTTACACTGTGAAAAGCTCTAGGGATAGAGGATGAACAAGACAAAATCTCAACGCTCAAACTCGAAGTGTGTGTATTGGGGAGGGGGGGAGGGTAGATGTTCTAGTAAATAATTACAATATTGTTGCAGGTAAAAGTCCTCCTGAGACACATGGGGGTGGGGGCAGCAAAAGGAGGTGTGGTCAGAGTTTCCTGTGGAGGTGTCAGAAAACTGGCCCCATCAGCCATCATCACTTTTTGGTTTCCATTTGCAAGGGACCCTCCTGACACCTCCCTATATGGAAAGGCAGGGGGAGTAGTAATAAGCAATTTGGCCTAATGACACCCTGTTAAGAAGATGCCTATGCTCTCCCTCAAGGGGGAGCCCTAATTGAATAAAAAATTTTTTGAATACCCTTAAATTTCAAAATCAAAAGTCTGACCACACAGAGTTAAGCAAACAGAAGGAAAGCAGAGCTTCATAGGCTGGAAAACACTCCAACCAAAGTAGGTCAGTTCCACTCCTATTTATTAAAGGAGTTCTCTGCCAAGACGGTTGGGACCTCAGGTCTGCATAATCCCACAAAATAACCAGAGGACCAAGACTTATACACAAGAAACCATCTTGTAATAATACAAGGCAGTGCATGAGTGTATGAAAATGACATGTAAAGACAAAGGATGCCATGGACTGAGCCCTGGGTGGCTGGGAATCAAGAGATCTGGGTTCTAGTCCCAGCTTACCACTAACTTGCTGGTTTGGGGCAAGTCCCTTCTCTCTGTGGGTCTCAGTTTGCTCCTCTGTAAAATAAGGGAATTGGACCAGAGCATAATGAAGCATCCTTTCAAGGCACACTGAAGACTTGAACCAAGTGAAGGCTCTCATTTCACCCTCTGCTTACACTTGAGATAACCTGGGGGCCCCTTGAGATTAAAACATAGGTTGAACCTCAGTCCTGAAGCCCTGCCACCTATTTATTTCTTCTAACAACCTCAGTGTTACTGCAAATACTTAAGAAAGACGCTGGGAGGGTCACAAGGAGGGAATTGTTGCCTCTCCCATCCCTGGGCACTGAATAACAACACACGTCTAGGCTGTATTTGGCTTTACATTGTCCCCAGTGTCCCAGGTGGCATTTCCCCAAATTGGGAGTTCAGACTAATGAGTGGGTACTGTTGCTCTAGCACCTTCCAACACCAGCACTGCCACTGAGGAGAAGAGGTTCCAAGGTTACAAGGGAGCTGGGAATGAGAGCCCCAAATTCCACTCTTCCAAACTATCACTGCCAGAATGTCATGGAGCTGCCAGAAAGCTGGGCATCTCCTGAATGTCAACGCTCCCAGGAGCTCCAGGAGCAGAGGTCTTTCTTACAATCAAATAGGAGAGGACTACAGGAAGGCAAGGTCATTGGATCCCAGGAAGGACTTGTCCAGGACAGAGATTAGAGACTCAGAATTGGGTCCCCAAGCACTTTTCCTGAGGAGTTTCTTGGGACAGAGGACATGGAGGCCAGTTTAGAATGCTGGTGGGAAGGAGTGGTTCTGGAATGGGCACTCCCACTCCCCACTCCCCATCCCACCACCCCCTCCCCATTCCTTCCATCCAGCCAGTCTGGGTGCAGCCACTCTCTCCCTTACAAATCCCAGCAGGAGAGACCCGGGATTCCCAGGAGTTTCCATGGGAAGAAACACAAGCCACCCACTCTGCCTCCTTCTCTTTTCTCTTCCAGCTCCTCCCTAGTCCTGGTGTGCGGAGACCAGCTGCTCCCAGGAATCCCCAGACACGCAGACATTAGGGAGGCAAATCCCACAGGAGAGAGGAGGGAGAGAGCTGCCGACGGTCCCATTACAGACCCAGAAACTCTCGCCTGACGTTTTTGAGGTTTTTCCCATCTGTAACCCGGTGTGCGTGGAAATGTCAAGGCTTTGGGACAGATGGATGTGGGCTCCAATCGTCTTTTTCTGGGGCAAGATTTTGGCCTCTCCGAGGTTCGGTTTCCTGGTCCGTAAAGTGAGGGTGACAATATCAGCCTCGAAAGGCGATTATAAGGTTTCAGTGAAACAATAGAGGAAAGGTGCCCAGAGGTGGCTGCAGAATTTCCGTCGAGGGCAGACAGGAGGAAGGGGTGGGTTGGCGGGCGAGGGGATTTTATCTTAGGGCTGCCTTCCTCTGGCGAACATGCTGTTTTTATTTTGGGGGATGGGGCCCTCTGGAGAGGAGCTGATAGAAATTATTGTTGCGGAGGACGAGGGTAAGAGTTCTCACCCCTCGGTGGAAGATCTGGGGGTCCCCCTCCACGCCCATCCCGCGTAGGACCCGATGGGTGCCCCTGCCCGCGGAGGGGCGCGGTACTCACAGTGTGAGAGGCGCAGAGCAGCAGCAGCAGCAGCAGCGACGGCGGCGGGCGGGGTCGCATGGTGCCCGGCGCGCCCCCCGCGAGCGCCCCGACGGCCTCCCGCCTGTGCGCACCGCCCGCTCCGGATCTCAGCGCCGCCCGCTGGGTCCCGGACCACGGCCAGCCGCCGCGTCCAGAGGAGCCATGGCTGGGCCACCAACCCGTGGCAGGCCTCGGGACTGCCCCTCCTCTGACGAGGTGGCCGCGCGCACTAAGCGGCCCAGCCCATTGATAAGGACGCGGCGCTGCCTGCTCTCCTCCACCCGGCCCCGACTGGCGGGGGGCCGGCGCGGAGGCGGCAGGGGAGGAGGCAGAGGGAGGGCGCGGGGCCCGGAGCCGGCTCCCGCACGTTCGGCCCGGGGGCGGGGGAGGCTGACAGCCTTCGGTGCTGCAACACCCCCACGTCCGGAAAGAGCACTCTTAAACTCTGGGTCAGCCCTGCCACAACCTTGCTGCGTGCGGACGGGCAACGTAGACCACCTTTTTGCGCCTCAATATTCTCATCCCTAACAACGCATCTAATCATCCCACCTTCGGCTTGAAAGAAGGTTGTACTAGTGCCCTGTGACATAGCGAGTGCTCGGGAAACGCCTATTGCATCTATTCTGTGGGACAGCTACCTTGCACTTCATTCCCGATTTTCACTTTATGTTTCTTCATTATTAAAGCCATACACGCTCCTTCCAGGAAGTTTCACTCTCATGAGTGCCATCACACGAGGAAGCCTCAATGATCAGGTGAGACCAAGGAGGTCCATCTGGTACACCCAGGCCTTTGGGGCTGTGCTGAAGAGGAGCTGCCTGGAGGTTCTGTGCTTCCTGGTGTCCGTGGGAAGCTATTTAAGCACCAGGCAGACATCCCCAGCAGCCTGCTCTACCTGGGTCTAAGCGCTCAGGTGTCCTGGAGCTTGGCTGTTGGCCTCTCAGTACAAGGTACCCTCAAACGGCTCTTGTAGACCCAATTTTTTCTTTCTCTGCACTGGTGCCCACTCCCTTTCCCCTTGTCTCTCCTTCAGTCTTGCCCTTTCTCTCATGCACTGTAAGTACATCAGCTCCTTGAATTCCTCCAAAACCCCTTGGTGATGTTATGCTGGTTTGTCAGAGGAGGGCATTGAGGGTGGAGGAGGATCAATGACATTGCCAGGCACACAGACTGAGAAGGTCAGGTGGGAAAGCCGGGATCTACACTTCCATGGCTGACCCTGGTTCTCTGTGACTGACCCCTGGTCAGATTGCTAAACTGCTGTCAAAGTCGTATACATTCCAGCCCTTAGCAGCCTTCCCTACCTGAAGAGGCTATGGATAAGGCGAAGCTGGTGAATCACAGCAGGAAAAAAAGGGGAAAAAAATGCTTTCAGCTCCCAGGTCCGCAATCAACCTAAAGTATATACAACCTAAAGTATACATAACCACACACTCACTTTTAGGAACTTTGGCTACAGAACACTCACCCAAAGACCCAGGGAAATAGGTGCAAGGATGTCCGTGGAAGTACTATTACAGTAGCGGAAAACGGGCTATGACGTGTGTGCAAGGGGAACACCGAGCCCTGCCCTTGCAGTTTCCTTCCTCATGGAGACCAACCATTGGTATAATTCTCCTGGCCTCTCTCCACCCCCCTCATTAACCCCCTCCCCCAACACACACACACAGAGGTGAGGTGAGCTCCACGTGACTGATGCATTTGGGATAAGGACCAGCATGAGGTTCTGCCCACCCTCCCCCCTTCCTTTGACAGCACGCCCACCTGCAGAGAGCCTCCTAACTGGATTGCCCTGGGCCAGGCTGTCACTGGTGGTCAAGGCTCTGACTGCGCTGATCCAGTATCGCCAGTGACAGGGTGATGGACTATCTAATTCTGGGGTTCAGTGTTAGAAAACCCACTTGCTCCACAAATAGAAACCACATTCTCCAAGACCAATATTCTCACTAATAAAAGTGATATTGGGCCCCACCTATCTTAATCTTATTTCTCAACTGGTTCAAGATTCAGGCCGGAAAAAAAAAATGTTACTTTCTGGGTCTCTTAAACCCCAACACCCTAAATGTGCAGCAGAAAGTGCAGGAGGTGGGGACTTGCCATTTTTCCTGTATAGACTTCTGTGTTGCCTGAATATTTTCTGTAACCATTGTACGTATCGTTTTTTTTTTTTTAATGGAAAGAAATAAAAAGAAACAATACAAAAATGCACTCTGTGATCTATACCAGAACCTCCCGATCTCCAGTGAAAAAGCAAAACAACATTTGTTCTGGACAATTCAATAAGTTTCTGACCTGTGGCAAGCCATTCTTCCTTAAACGGGAGGCTCTGCCTCTTGAAACACTGAGAACAGGGTCTGAAGGGCTCTGTGAGAAGCCCTTTTACAAGCCATGGATGCAGCTAGTGGCTTTGTAAAGGCTGCCTGAGAAATCAATTTCATAACAGGGTGGAAGGGAAGAGGCAGGGAACTAACAATCTAGTTAATACCTGCCATGTGCTAGGGAGTGTTTTAGGAATTGAAGTGTGTTATCATATCCAATCCTCCAAGACTCTATGAGAGAGAAGTACTGTCCTTGATGAATAGGATGGGAATTTGAGGCTTAGGGAAGATAAACACTCGCCCCTCAACACAGCTAACAAGAGGCAGGGCCAGGATTTGAACCCAGGACTAAGCCCAAAGCCCATGCCCTGTGCCCTTTGCACTGTACCAGGATTCCTTTCAATCATGAAGATGACTTCCTTATCCTTGGGGCTTCTGAAGCCCTTTTGCACACATCGTCAATCATTTGATCCTCAAAATAACTCTGTGAGGTAGGTGGGACCAGCAGTCAGGGCCTGGCGGGAGAAGAAGAACCCATTGCTCAAATGGTTTCACCGAAGAGAGTTTAATGAAAGGACTATGTGCAGAGGTGTGGGCAGGGTAGAGGGAACCAATCGATGGTGAGGTTCCAGGGATGACAAAGACTCTCTCCTTGACCAAACTTTAGTTAGGCTCCTCTGTGCCCTCTTCTTGACTAGGCCTTTATCTTGGCCCTGTCTGTCTTTGGCCTGCCTAGCCCAGTCTCAGCAAGAATCTTGCTGTCAGTTTAGTGAGAATCTCTCCCCTTTTGATATCTAATGATCCCTGATATCTGACCAAGTTCCTCATCCTCACCTTTGATGTCTAAATCCTGTCCTGCCTTCAGCAAGAGTCCCCCTACCCTTGATGTCTCCTCTTAGTAATCTTCCACCCACTCAGCCCCTCACTCTGCTCCTTGGCTATAATCCCCACTCGTCTTTGTTGTATTCCAAGTTGAGCTCGATCTTGCTCTCCTATTGCAATACCTCTATTGCCACAGTCTTGAATAAAGACTTCTTTACCATTTTAACAAGTGTCAGAATAACTTTTTCTTGAACAAGGGGCAAGGAGAGAAAGCTGGCAAGAGGTTCCCTTGGGAGAGGAGCCACCCACAGGAACTTAACCACTGAAGAATGCAGCCATTGTCAAAACTGTGGCCTGGCAAGGGAGTCAGGTGATGGGATAAGTACCCTGACCTCTCTCTTCTCCTGTCCACCAATCTCCTGGCAATGTCTTCCATTGGCTGAACCCAATGCAAAGCCAGAGACAAGGCAGACAGATTGGCAGGGGAGCACGGGGTATGGACTGCTCACAGAGTTTAATCTCCTGGCTGGAGAAGGTAGAAAATGGAATTGGGAGGGATGAGACAAAAAGAGAATAACTCCACTTGGAAATATCATTATACTCATTTAACAGATGAAGATCCTGAGATTTTATGAGGCTATAATTCAAGATCAACAGTTGGAAGGTAGGAATGCTGGTACTGAAACTCTGGTCTTTTGATTCCCAGCCCTGAGTTGTTTCCATTACACTTATTATACCCATTACACCCAAATCTAGTGATGAAAAACCACAGCAATTATTTATTATCACTTCACAGTTCTGGGGGGTCACTGGGCTCAGCCAGGCAGGTCTTGTTCGGGGTATCTCCTACAGTTGCAGTCAGACAGTGGCTAGGACCCGAGTCACCCTAAGAGGAGCTCGCTCAAATATCTAGGGCTGGAGCAGCTGGGGCTCCTCACATGTCTCTCTACCTCCATGTGCTCTCTCCACGAGGTCTCAGTGTCAGCTTCAGGGTGCCTGGACTTCTCACATAGTGACTCGTGGTCCCAAAGGTGCGTGTCCCAAGAAAGAGAGAGCAAGTGGAAACTGTATTGTGATCTATGACGCACCTTTGGAAGTCACACAGTGCTGCTTCTGTTGCTTTCTATTGTCAGGACAATAACAAAAGCCTGCCCAGGTTCAAGGGGAGGCAACACAGACTCTTGATAAGCGAGTAAGAAGATTCTGGAAGAGCATGTGAACTACAAATACTGTTACAGCAATTATGGGGAAACACCATACTGTACATCCTCTAAACTTCATTATAAACCCCATGGGTGACAGAGAGGGGCTATCTGTTTGATCTTGATGACTTTCCAGTTTTTGAAAGTCATCCCTTTCTCTTAGTCCCACTGCGGTAGAGTGGGGCATACAAACCTTAGTCATGACCACCCCAAACGCTAGAAGTTCATGTTCTCATAACAGTAATTTAAAAGTTACCCTGAGGATGGGAGGTCCTGTATTTGGTTCTAGGGTAACTTATTCTCTAACAGTTTCACACAGATATTCTTATCACCCAGTGAGGCAGAATGTAAGGGTCGATACTGAAGGGTACCAGAATACTTCACCCCAAAATATGCCACTTTGGCATAACGATTGTTTTGAGCTAAAGGCAATTGAGAACCAGCAGACACAGGAAAAGCTCTTTACCTCCCCCTAACTGCCTAAAAATAAAGTGTAAATGTGCCCTTTTGTAAAGGAAGTTTCCATTTGTAAAGAAACTCTCTGTACCAGGAAGAGAACTACTCCTGGAGACTCTCATCTGCACAAGAAGACAACGTTGTCTACCACACATTTCCTCCCCTTCCCTTCCCATAACTTGCCTCCCCTACCCAGAAGTCTAAAACCCCTTTTCCTTCATTTAGACCTAAGTTAGTATAT